CACACACACACACACACACACACACACACACACACACACACACACACACACACACAATAAGTTTGTCCGTCCGGTGATAGGGCAGAGAGCTGTGAGAGTTGATTTATTCCGCGCAGGGAGCAGGTGGCCACGAATTGATAGTTTGTTTGTTGGAGAGCCCAGGCTTCACGGAGCGTGCGACTACTGGTGTGTCGTTTGCGCTGGTCCGTATTACCATGGGAAAGTGATGTCCCGAGCGTTGAACACGTGGTTGGCTGGTCCATAACCTGAGTCGGGGATGCATGATAAAGAGAAAATCCAGGTGGCAGGCCAGACCGGCCGACGCTCATGGGACGCCGCTCATTTATGCACGCAGCCATGACTCAGCACAGCTGGACAAGGGGCGCCTCAGGACAGGCGCGAGGGGTGGCCATGCGTTGGCGGCGTGCCTGCAGGCTGTTCGGTTGTCGCGGCCGTCGATTGACGGGACGCTGGAAAAGGGGGCACTGTAGCGGCCCCAACACGACCCCTTCAAAAACCAAACAAGGTGAAGGGGTCAATAGGATATCCAGTCACAGTTCTGTTTGGCTAATGGACATGGCGACCCGGATCTTGTGCGGCAAATCAGAGCTGGGTCGTCGCCATTTACAATCGGAAATACCGTCCGCTTCGATCACCCTATTCTTACACAAAATCAGCGTTCCATGGATGCTTTTCTCCTAGAAAGAAGGGTTACACGCCGTTGCATGGCCTGTGGAAGGACGCAGCTCTGTGGACTAGCAGATAAGAAGAGTGATAAGTTAATTATTGAATTCGAGAGAAGTCAGTGAGCACTCGACCTCGACCGATTTGTCAGCGAAATCGCCATTGTGATCGCGAACAGTGTCAATCGGTAGAGAACTTACCACAACAGTGGCGAATAATTTAGGAGACATTCCGAGCGCAACCTGCGTTTGATGCCTTCTTCATGCAGGTGGCCAATTCATCCGAACGATTTTCACGACCATCTTTTGCCAACTTGCCCGTCACGCGGTAGCAGTATTTATCAATGTGGGACCTAGCTCAGGCTGTCTGGACAAACGACTGTGGGGTCCTTGGACCACTTCATTCATTGTGGTGCAGCTGGCTGAGTCTGAAAATTGTTTAGCTGCCTTGCGTTCTGAGGACATGGGTAATTATAATTCGCTAGTATTCTACGTCTACTCGGGACGCGAATAGAGATCGGGTTTCTGCGCTCCGAGTTTCGACTATACTGGTTTATCGTAAATTCGTTACTCCAAATGAAGGGTGAACATTCAGACATGTTCGGACGAGAACATTGTCCGACAGTTAGGCGTTGCGAGTCTCGACATCACGCAACGACCTCTTATCATGAATCCAGCTATGAGAATGGAGTGGTAGTGGAGGGAGCATGGATAATGATACGGGCAACATTCGTTCCGCTTTCTGCCTTGGGACTCGCTCTCTAGTCCCGCCAACAGCCGCACAGAGGCTAGTAGTACGCAGAGGCAGGACAACATTACCGACAAAGACAAGTGATTTTAAGGCAACGTTAGGTTGTGTAACCCCACCTCTCAACTCAATATAACTGTCTTATTATTGGCTATGGGAGGACTATACACAAGTATTCTTAAAGAAACAAATAAGTCCGGCGTACGCGTTCGACAACAGAAACTGTCCAGAGACATCAAGGAAGCAGAGCGCTTGTGCTCGAACAGGGATCAAGTAAACCAAAACGCAGCCGGTGATCCTTGCATCAGGCATAATATGGTGAGTACCGACATGACACAAAATGGTTTAACTATTTTTGCGGAAGAAATATGGGCTAGATCGCAGTTGCTGGCCAGGCCCCGTAGTACAAGTGGCTGGGGGGGGGGGGTTGTTTACTGGGGCTATTTTGTGGGGTTCCATAATCGCATCTGACCCATTTGGATTCCGTTTTACTTTTGAGGTTAGGATTTGGGTACCGGTTGATGGTTTCTGATTTTCGGGTTAGGGTTGTGCATTTAGGCTTAGGTTATCGGGTTACGGCTAGGGTTTGAGCGTGCGATTAGGTTTCAGTATTACGGTTAGGTTTTCCAGTTGCGGCTATGTCTAAGGGCTACGGTTGCGTTTACGGTTTCGGTTAGGGTTAGCGTTGCCGTTAGGGTTAACGGTTAGCGTTTAAGGTTGAGATTAGGGTTAAGGTTTGGATTAGGGTTAAGGTTGCCGTCCGCTTCCCCATTCCTGGTTACCAACTGCGATCTAGCCGAAATATGTAAGTTACGGCATTGACAGCGAAAGCCAATGCAAGTACATAAGGTCAACTAAGAAGTCAAGGTAAGACAAAAGGATTACGGGCAGGGGTTGCGAGAACATCATGCCAAATAATTTATCGCTAAGAAAGTCAAACTGAAACAATTCGACGCATGCGGTTATATCAAAGTGTTAGATAACACACCGTTCTCACAGTTCCTCACCAAAATCATTAAATGAATAAGTTAACAGCTGAACATTTGGAATATTTTGGATGCACGCCGAAAACTAAAAACTTACTAACTACTCACTGCTATTCGAAATTCTCTATTGCTCATAAACGTTAATGCATTAAAACGTTTATTTTACCTCCTCTGATTTGTGCCAGTACATTTTGCTAACAAGCTGACCAGGTAAAAGCACACAGAAATCGTGTTCGGCACTTGTTTTGCTGGCTTTCCTCCTGCCTTCAAGCACAACCGCATCGGTTCCCTGATCGGAAACGACGGGGAATTATGAACTGGATACATCTTCAGGCGTTTCGCGGTGTCAATGCAATGCGTGTGGCGGTATTCTTTGGCTGATGGTAACTTTCTTGGTCTTGTCTTGTAAACCATCCAGCAGAGGAGGCCATACATGAGAATAATCAAATCAGCCAGGGTTCAGTCTTTTCACATTCCAGGAACTTGTTTAAATACTTATCCTAAGTGAAGACAGGTTGTATCTCCACGTACTTAAACAGAGAGCAGAAATTGATGAATCGGTTGTGAAAGGGAAGTAAGAAGCGAAACGCTGGACATCTCCATTTCTTGTGAAAATGCGGAAATGCACATTCTTGCAGGCCCTAAATGGTCATTAGGAGTGGTCAGGTGACCAAAGTAGTCCCAACCTTCCAAAAATTCCTTAAATCTACTTCACAAGTTAAAAAATAAAAATTTATTTCCCTGTGCAATCGCGGCCTCACTATAGGCAACGTGAGCGGGTCGCTTATTCAAACAGCTTTCCCCTTTTTTATACTGCAAATGTTGGTCGCGGCAGTATGAACCGTAACCGGTCGACTTCAAAGTCTTGGCTGATCGTGCCGCCCAGTGATCACTACTTTTCACCAATGAAAGTCAGTTTTTTACTTTTCAGCAGGGGAATGCAATTTAGAGCTTTCAGAACGATGTCGGGAGTCGCACACTAGGTGTGGTGTTTAATGTCGTTGGTGAAAAACGGCAATTTTTGGATCAAAGCAGAA